CTTTTCTATCGGATAAAAAAATTTTTTTTTAAAATTTACTCAGAAAAATTTTTCTTTGTATATACACCATTCTGACATCTAAAAGACTTTTGACATTTGCCAAGAATGTTCGTTTAGACGCTGCATATAACCATATTCTTGACAATATTGTTTATACGAATCGTACAATGACCTTTCATCTAAACACTCAAAGTCAGTTTCATCTATGAACAGTTCATATACACTCTTGTTTGCTTCTAACAATGTTTGTCTCTCTTCGGTATGTGGAATTTGTCTTGGATTGAACTTTGAAATATCTAATGTCATAAAATATGAGAACAAGTGGTTGTAAAAGTCAGATGTCAAAGTTTCTGCTAAGTCGTCAAAATATTCTGTATCTTGCATATGAGAATCTGACGTTCTGACAACTACATATCTTCTGTCAGAACTTTCTAACTTCATCGGAACAGCATTGTTTGAAACCATAATGAAGTTTGCAACATTTTCACAAACTCTTTGGTCTTTATACTTTCTTTCAACAACTCCAACTTTGTCTGTTATAAGACTCTTCAAAGCATCTGAGTTCAAAACTTTTGTTGTATCTATACTTTGAAGTTCATTGCAAACTATAAGTTTCATATTCTCTATTGAAGAGTTAAATTTACCGCAGATGTTTTCTAAGTTTGTCATATTCGGGTTCGAATAGCCTCTAACAGTTTGCAAAAGATATCTGTAAAGAATGTGTTCTTACCAGTTCCTTGTTTTCCAATTATAATGAGAGCAGTTTCATTTTTAGCACTTGGATGTTGTAAGATGTTTGCAAACCAACATAAGATATACTCATAACTCTTTCGTTTCCATTGCATATAATTTCTTTGACATGGTCTAACCAAGCTTCTATAATATTTTCTTTCCATTCTACTTGTTCGTATTTATATCCAGTGAAGATAGAATAGAAGTTTGGAGAAGGTGTATAGAACTTTATACCTCGAACTGAAAAATCTTCTAACTTTGACAATAAGATATCCCAAGCATCTAACATCTTCATTCCAACTTGTACACTTTTATTTTCTTAAGTTTCTGTCTACATTCTTGTTCTGAGACACTATTGTCGCTCTTGGTTTGTTAAAGACACATCCCATTCTTTCATAACATAACATTCTGGGGCAGAGTCGACATAAATGACTAAACGTTTCAAATTCTCGACTGCTTTGTTATAGTCTCGAAATGGACACATATTTCTGAATGCTTGGAAGTCATAAAAATCTGAAACATCTATTCTGTACATTTTTATAAAAATAAAAAAAATATTTTTTTTATTCTTGACTTTGTTGTTGCATTTGTTGCATTTGTTGTTCTTGAGCTATTTGTTGTTGAAGTTGTTCTTGTAATACAATACTTTCACCAGTTGCATCTTCCAATTCGAAACTTTCTGCCGTCATTGACAAATACATAGGACATAAAAGTTTTACAGGAACAAAGTTTGCGTCAACTAATGTCAACGTTATACTTGCCAAAGTGTTTGAGTTCACTAAGGTTGAAAATTCTGCATTCGAATGAACAATAGGCAAACCAGCAGAGAAAGTATTGTTTATACGCATAAGTATCTTTTGGTCATAATAGTTTCTGTCGACATTCGAATAACACTTTGAACCTAAGTTTGAAACAATATATAAGATTGGTGTGCTTAATGTCAATGGAATAGACATTCCTTGTATGACACCTTTTCCTGTTATAGGAAACTGTTGGTAGTAAAAACCAGATATAAGTTTTGTATTATAGCTCATATTGTTTATAGTAAACTCAGTCGGACATCCAAACATAATGAAACCTGCTCTAGTTGCAGCACATGTTACACCCGTCTTAAAGTATTAAATAAGTCAACAAAACCTGTTGGTGGTATATCTGAGTAAGTATCTTCAAAGGAGTATTTTTTACCATTCACAACAATAAAGTCTTCTGGTGTCAAAAGAGCAAAACAGGCTTTAGTCGTCATTGTGTTTAAGGTTAGTTTACAATATCGTCCTTGAGGACTTTGTAAGTTTGTTGTTATAGAATTATATGACTCAGGGTTTTTAGTCGTAATAGTATAAACCATTATGTCTTCTGCCATTTATATATATTTAAAAGTTTTTCTGAAAGTGGAGAAGAACTTCATCTAAACTTTCACATGGCGTTTCTTGAAGTTCTCTGTCTAAGAAGTTCAAATATTTTGTAAAGACATAGAACTTTCCTTTGTCTACACGAACAAACAAAACAGGGTCTTTCATATCGTTCAAAAGTGTGTAAAGTCCTTTACATGAAATAAAGTCTATATTATTTTTCTTCAAACATCTTTCAAGAAGTTTTGACATTTTTACTTAGCAAATAAATTTTAATGAAATGTTGTGGTCGTCAAATATTTTTATGACGTCTGGGAAACTATACTTTAAGTTCAACGTTTCACCTCCTTTCATAACGTATATCTTGTCAATGACATTATATGAAACACCACAGCAACTAATGTCGGGTTCTATTTCTTTGATGTTTATATCGTCTGCCTCTGTCAAAAGTTTCAATAGTTCTTTCAAAACTTCATGAGGTGCAATGACATATGAGTTCACTTTTACAGGGTTGTGTTCGACCAAGTTTAACATTATACTAAAGCTTGACAAATCTTCTCCTGAGTTTGAAGTTTGTCTTTCAGTTGTTGGTAGTCGTTTCGAATATCTGCAACAGAACTTAAGTCTCTGCTAACTTCAGGATATGTTGGTTGTTCTTTTACAGGAACAATTGTTATACCATCTTCGTCTTCGTATGGTTTCCCCACTTCAACATCTCTGTCTTTGACATTGACAACAACACTTTGACTGTTTGTTTGAGTTGGTGAATTTAACTTCACATCTGCCACCGCCATTAAACCTTTTGAAACACTTACGCTTCTATTTTTCGGAAATGACATTTTACTTAGAATAAAAAGATGGACGTATTCGAGTATCTCTTCGAATTGAAGCAGAACAAAGTTTACACACACAAACAATACAAATACATTGACAGAATAGTTCTTTATACAAACAATGGAAATGTTATAGAATAGCAGTATTTGCTGAACCAAAATATTTTCATAAAGCAAAGAAAGTTGGTATAACTGAAATGGTGAAAGTTCTTGAAGCAGACAAAAATATAACAACAAAACTTACAGATATTTCTAAAGGTAAGTTTATCTTACAATATTATGTCAAAACTGGCGTACTGTCAATATTTGACGGAGAGAAGTCAGTTCAAGAACAACTTACTGACCTGCTGCCAAAATCTGCTCGATGGAAGCTGTCGTTATGCCAATCTGAGGAGCCCCAGCAGGTTTCATCGAACGAATCTTCAAAAGAGCATCTTCCGTGAAAAGTGCTATTGGTTTTGTAAACTTCTTTGCTCTCAGTTCATCTGGACCGTCTCTGTCACCAGTATATTGTATTTGTACAGTACCAACAGTTGAAATACCACCCATAAAGTCTTCTGAGTCAGCAAATGGAATGCCAAGCCAAAAGTTTGAACGGTCTCCATTTGTATATTGAGTTTTTTGACCTCCTGTATGAGTCCATACTTTCACATATGGCATAATAGAACTTTGCATTTCAGGGTTAATGGTTGTTGTGAAGTTGTTGTTAAAGTTCATAGCATCTAATGTCAAGTTGTATGACCTCATATCCTCAACTGTAGAATATTCTTCTCTTGGATAATATTTGCCATCTATGTTTATATGATATTTAATACCGGGTTGTAGAAACAAGAATAGTCATTTATAGTTCGTCTGAACAGTACAAACATAGTATCTGCATGTTTCATTGCAGTTGTTAAAGCAATATCTGTTCTTGCACCTGGGTCAGCACTTTGGTTTCCAACTTCACCTGCAAAGTCTTTGACAGATATTTGGTGTATAGGGAACATAAGTGGAACTGCAATATATTTGGCAGCTAAAGCATTTGAAATATCTGGGTCCAACATATAGACTGCAAGTCTGCTTTCTATTCTCTTGCATTCAAATTTTTCGCATGTGAACTTAACTGGGTCCCAAGCAGTTCCAGCAGCATTGAAATAATAGTTTACTTCATTGTTGAGTTTGAGAAACCAAAGTCTAAGTCAACTTTGTCTTTGCAAAAGTCACAGAATTGGCTCCACCAGTTCCAGCTACAGTAAGCTGAATGGGTCTTGTGTTGGTGCAATGACTAAGTTATTTTTGCTTGGAGTAAGTTCGATAGAAATTTTTCCTGCCCAGTTTGGCAAGTATCTTAAAAACCTGAAGATGAGGAAAGATGACAAAGGAACTCTAAGTTTCAGTTTTACTTTAGTGGCAGCAGTTCCATCTGAACCAGAAAGGTTAACATAAACTCCTGGAACGTTAGGGTCAAGTCTTCTTATTTTCTCAATATTTGCATACTGGTCTGTTTGTTCTCTAGCTTGTGGTTGTACTGAGTTTCTCAAAGCGAACCATTCATAGTTTGCCCATGTTACTGTTTGAACTAAGTCAGAGTTAGAATATATCTTATATCCCATGAAAACTTCTGGAGCATATTGGTATCCGACATAGAAAATTCCATTGCAACCTTTCTTGTCAGACAACTTGGCAGAAGGTTTTATTTCAATGTCTTGTTCCACGTATAAGAATGAGTTGTCAATAGAAATAATATGAAACCTGTCGCAAGCAATATCTACTGTTGTTGAAGAACCTTCTCCAAACTCACCTACGTTTCCATAAGAAACAGCAGTTGTATATTCGTAAGTTCCAGGAACTATTTCTGACCTTCTAATGGCATTGTCGCATTCGTTATACCATTCGGAAACATTTCCGTTCATGGCATCCAAAACTGTTGGCGTTATATTCTGAGCGGCGTACATTTCATATGGTAAAAATATAGAATAGTTGGATTTATATATCATAATAGAACCCACTCGGACCAAGCTTTACTTTGTTCTACTCTTCTTCTTTTGTCGCTTTTGGTAACTTGCCCTCTGCTTCAAGTTGTTGCATCTTTGCCTCATGTTCACTAGTATGTTGTAAATTTCCCATGTCCTTTTTGCCTTTGGCTCTGGTCGCCCATCTCAGGTAACCTATATCCTAGAAAGATTTTGTCATAGTTTGTATTTGAGTCTTCGCGTATTGTTTGCATGACTCTTTCCTGAGTTTCCGGTTCAAGCTCTTCAAACAGAGCTTGTCCATATGGAATAAGCTCGTTTCCAAATATATGTTTTTGTAGCCATTCTGGTTTTCTTTCCATGTTACCAACAATATCTTTTGTGAATGGGAAAGCTTTTACCCAATGTTTCAGTCTTGCGTCATTTATTTCTGTAGTTGGTTTTATTTTGTCAAGGAACATGTTTTTCAATACTAACATTTCATTTGGTACTGTCCATTTGAGTTTTCTTAAATATTCATCCCTTCTCGGTTCATTGTCTGCAAAGTAAGTTTTTATGACATTTTGTAAACTTTCGTTTGCAAGGTCATGTACAATAGGTTCTCTTCCTTCTCTCTCCCTAACTTTCTTTCTAAACTCTTCACCAAATATACCATCTCTATGGTTCTGTGTAGTTCTTTGAGATAAATGTTCTAGAACGTCAGGTGTTATATTTCCATCAGCCATGTTCATTTCATACTGGTCCAAAATATCTGCATCTTTCATATCTTTCAATGGCATTAAAGCCGCGCTGAAAATACCAGCTATATCTGGTTCACCATTCACTTCCATTGCGTCTACAACTTCTTGGAATTGTGGTTGTAAGTTTATGAACCACCTATCCGGATTAGCTTTATGACCCCATCTCATTGTAGTTCCATCGTCTGCAGAAACAAAAGTAGGTTTGTTTCCATATTGGTTAGGTTCTGAATGAACTTTAAACAATGTTTCATTTCTATATGTTTTGTGAAATTTAACCTTTTATTTTCACCGAGTTCATCCAAAGATTGAACGTTATATGCTCGTAAGTAAAAAGGATTGTTGTATTTGCGTACATTTCTTTCAGTTCTTCCATTCTATGCTGAATATTTTCATCTGATGTTGGAGTCTTTTGTATGTCGGCGAACATTTTTCGATATTCTTCTACTATGTCAGCCGAATTTTTCTTAGACTCTTGGAAAGATTCCATATTCTCCGCATACTCTTGTTGAGGGTCAAGATTTTTCGGCTGTTCCAAATCTTCATCTAGTTCTGTGAAGTTAGTTTCCAAAGGAGGACTTGTTCGTTTCCTTCAGGCTCTTCTAGCTGTTGTTGCTGAACTATTTCTTCCATGTCTGGTTGTATCTGAACTTCTTCCTGTGGAGTTTCTTGTACCTCATCTGCTGGCATTTCATATATTCCGAGACCGTTTTTAACAAGTTCCCTATCTAAGTCATCCGCATTCATAACCTTTCTTCTTTCGTTCCGTCTCTATTTTTTACGCGTTTCATGAAGAGAGTTGAATTATCATTTATCTGACACAAATATCTCGGAGTAAATTCATCATGTCATTTGGATGATATGCTATTAAATCATATCCCTTAGCGAGCTTGTATTTTCCAGGTTTGAATTATATCCCATTTGGTGCTGAACCATAAAGCTAAATAGGTTCGGGTCAGTATTTCCTTCCTTGAACTTTCTAATAGCTTCTTTATATCTGTCACTAAAGTCAAGAGTATCTGGGTAACCATATTTCCTTAAGCATTTTTAAGAATTCTTGGTTTCCTTGTTCTCTACTTCTTTTATGTCCTTGCTCTGTTTGTGGTTGTTGCTGTGCAGTGTTTTGAACTGTTGGTTGTGGTGCAGTGTTTTGAACTGTTGGTTGTGGTGTAGTGTTTTGAACTGTTGGTTGTGGTGCTGGATTTTGAACTGTTGGTTGTGTGCTGGTTTTGTGTTGGTTTTGGTGCATGCCTGTGTCTGTGTCCATGTGACGATGTAAATGTTTTAGGTAGTCCTGGTGCAGGTGCTTCTCTTGGAGGGTTTGGTGGTATATAAGTTCCACTAGCTAGTATATAAGTTCCACCAGCTGGTATATAAGTTCCACCAGCTGGCACATATGTTCCATCTGCAGCATAATGTCCTACCTGACTTTTCGTTTTTAAGAAAGCATTTACTAGGTCTGTTTTGGTCTGTTGTAACTCTTTTTCTTGACTTTCCACAACAGTTGCTCTAACGGCGTCATAGGCACTTTGAACTGCCTGTCTCGTTGCTGCATCTGTTATTTTCGTCATATTTTGTGCTACTTCTCTTAACTCTTTGTCGAAACCTTCAGACTTCAGTTTCTTTCCAGATGAGAAGTCGTTCACTAGTTTCACCTTACTATGAAGAGCTTCGAAGGCGTTCTTAAAGTCAGCATTCATTAAAGCTTCATTTGAACTGTCTTCATCCGCTTGTATTTTTGTCCTTATTGACCCTATAAGTTGGGCTGCTTTAGCGTTGGCTTGGGCATCTAACCAGTCATTGTTAGCTTTTATATATTCTGCGCTTTTCATTGCCTTTTGCATGGCTGCGTCGTTATTTTTACTTTCTTGTGCTAAGTTTTCATACTGTACGGTTTGGTTTTGCAACTGTAAAAGTTTTTCTGCCTTTACATTTGCTTCAACTTCTTTTTTATACTCATCGCTATCCATATATGTCTTCAGGGCTTTTTGTTTTATCTCTTCATCTTTCAGTACTTTATATTGAGTAGTATGGTTTTTCAAATTTATAACATCTTGTTCCATTTTTGCTACTTCTGCTGCTTTTTCTGACACTTTTTTCGCATATTCCTCTGTACTTAGTTCTTTCAGTTGTTCTTCTTTCTTCTTTTTCTCTACGTTTAACTCATTGAGTTTCTTTGTGTGTCTGTCATATTCTAGTTTCTTTTCGTTTTCACTTATTTGTTTCTGTATGTCTATGTTTGACTTTTTGACATCTGTTATTTGATTTTTGAGTGAACTCAAATTCATTTGACTTTGAGGGTTATAAGCTGTTCCGTCTGCAGCTCCACCATAGCCTGCCATTTTCGCTAAAAGTGCCGCTCTTAAACCTCCACTCTGTGCACCAATAACTCGGTTTAAAAGCATAGGGTTGCTTGACATTTGTTGCAACATAGTGGGGTCATTCATCATTTGTTGTTGCAACTGTTGTTGTGGTGTCAGTTTTACTATTGGATGTTTCAATGCTCTCTTCCTCTTACGTATATTCTTACGTAGCTTACGTGGCATTTTAAGTGAAGTTAAAAAGCGGTTTTTGACAGATGTTTATATGACACTTTTTGTTCAGCACAAAAAACTACTCGGTCAAAGTGTTGTCAGTTTTGTAAAATAACCGTCCTATCTCATTCTATAAGGGGAAAAGGCTTCTCAAAGTATACTTCCTTGGAACGCCTGTAACTTTTCCTGTAGCGACGATAGACCCTTACTTGTCCGGACAAAGTTATACTATTTTGAGTGCTCTACAAAAAAGTCAACGGCGACGACTCTCAAAAACCGTTGTGTAAAAAGTTTTACCGTTGGACAAAAAAGTATATATAGAAAACAAAAAACGTTTATAGTTCATTCAATATTTGAGATGGAACGGTTTTCCAACGGTAACTATTAAATAAAATAAAAAAATAGAGGGGGTTACCGTTGACGAAAACGGTTTATTCAAACTTTTCTATGAGTGTCCGAAAAAAACAGTTCATTTTTCATAATGTACGCGTCTCGAACAGTGAAGCCCAATTCAATAGAATACTATCTCGAAAAACAAGAAGCTGACACTGCTATTCAGTCTTTAATACAGAACCAAGCTCAGGAGAACTCAAAAGACTCCCAATTCAAATCGACATCCAATTCGAAGCAATTAAAACTTGACTCGAATGTTTTAAAACCACAGCCCGCACGAACAAATACAGCTCTAAGAATAGACCAAAGAATACCGAACAAAGAGTTGAGGTCAAGATTGAAATTACAATCGGATGAGTATTTTTCCCTTAACAACCAGGGAAATACTCCATATAACCGTATCTACACAAATACCGTTAAAGAAACAATAACGGCATACACAAAACTCTGTCAATTGGTCCCCAACCAGGACCAATTGACGGACATTATATGTTCCTACCTTCCCATATTTGCTGAGTGTGTGGAAGGTAGGACATTGTTACAAGCTTGCTTACGTATGCCACCAAATCTCCGTCAACAATTTGCTCAAATTGTACATGAATTTAAAGCTTTTAACAACGGATACGATGAAGATGAAGTAGCAGATGAATTTGGGGAAGAAAAAACATTTTTCCCCTCATATAATACGCCTGCAACAGTATTTCCTACTAATGAATTTCACAACTATTGTGTCGTTCATTTAATTGTTGTGGATATGCCCACAGGTGAAGACATTCTCAGTGGTGACTTCATCGAAGTCTGTATCAATACAGAATTGGGAGAAGATGAGTTGCACAAATTCTCCAACGTCGAACATATATTCAAACCAGCACACCAACTCTTTATCGAAACTGAAATAACACTCACACAAAATATGTCCATCTCATTTAAATCCAAATCAGGACGTCCATACAGAATTTGGATGAACTACGTCCTCTCCACTACGCCGACGATGACGAAGAAGAGGAAGAAGAGGAGGAGGAAGAAGAAGAGTCCTCCGAATTCACACCAGAAGACTAACAATTTTCCGAATAAAAACTTCATTTATACTAAACATCTTCGGGGCTAGAGGGCACGAAGTGCCTGGAAGCCCCACTTCCTTTTTTTTTTTTTTTTTTTTTAATATAAATATTTTATCGTTTTATTTTCTTGTTTTAGAAATGTTTTTTATTGAAAAATCAATAAAACTAACTCCAAAATGAGAGAGGGTCAAAGTTGCTATTTGTCACTTTTCCACAAGAATATAATGGGGAAAAAGTTATCATATAGTTGATCTCATTCACTGAGGTGAGAGATGCATGTAGTGTAATTTGATAAACAGTGGGATTGCTGCTCTAAGTCCTAGGTTCGAGACACATTGGCTTCATTTTTCTCTTTTTTATTGACGTAAACTATTCAATTTTTGTGTTCTCCATTCAAATTTCAGAATTTTTTTTGCAGATTTCACGCTACATTCGAAGTTACCTTTTGTAACAACCACCACTGCCTACGAAAGACGAAAGTGTGTCACGATTTCACCCGGAAATCCGACGGTTGTTTAAGAGTAAGCACTTTTGGCACCTACTCACTCCAAAATAAAATTTTTGATTTAAAGACACTATGATGACACCAGGCAAATCTTCCAAGACACCTATCATCGGGAATCTAACAACCCTAGATCTATCTAAATTGTGGAAAAAAAATTGAATAGTGGAAAAAATTTTTGAATAGTGGAAAAAATTTTTGAATTGAGGTGAAAAGTCAAATGTATGTAAAAAGAGTGTAGTAGCAATTCTATTAATTTTTTTCAGATTTTTTGTAAAGTTACGATTTTTTTTTCCAGAAACGAAATAGGTCATGGATCTGAATTTCGAATACATTGCTGCTCATATCAGCGATTATATTAATAATGAAAACTTCTTCGATACATTTGATATGAGGGATATCAAAATAATCATGAAAAATTCACATTTGACAGCTGATCAGTACGTTACTCTTCTTAAACAATCTTCATCAACTCTCAATTCCAAAGAATTATATATCTGTACAAGGAAGGCAAACGTTCGTGTCCAAAATCTCGAAGAAGTTGTTTCAATTCTTAACTCTGTGAAAAGATACATGAAATTCAATATATTTGATGGTATTACAGATTTTTTAAAACAGAATGAGAAAGTTATAAACGATTCTACGAACGAAAGAGAAACATTTCAAGATAAATCCAAAGCGTTTCAAAAAGAAAATGAAAATGCAACCAAAGATACTACTGTCAATGTAACTAATGAAAATTACAATCAATCACGCGATATTTTAACTAAAATCACAGAACTTAAGGAATCTAGTGATTTTGAAACAGTTTACAAATTCCTTGATGAACTTTCTTCGACAGGAAACCACGAAATGATTTCAAAATCAGTCGAAGAAGGACTTTGGAAAAAGATTGCTCCTAAAATATATGAATATGATGATCGTGAGAGAAATGTTCTTCATTTTGCAAGTGAAAACGGAAATCTCAGACTTGTTCAATCACTCATCGAATGTGGTTGTGACAAAGAATCAAAGAATAATGATGGAAATACTCCACTCATTTGGGCATCAAGAGAAGGTCATCTTGAAGTTGTTCAATATCTTATCTCTGTTGGAGCAGATAAAGAAGCAAAGGATAATATTTGTGGATCTACTCCACTCATTTCTGCATCAGTATATGGTCATCTTGAAGTTGTTGAATATCTTATCTCTGTTGGAGCTGATAAAGAAGCAAAGAATAAAGATGGATGTACTCCACTCATTTGGGCATCATATCATGGTCATCTTGAAGTTGTTAAATATCTTATCTCTGTTGGAGCTGATAAAGAAGCAAAGGATAATACTGGATCTACTCCACTCATTTGGGCATCATATCATGGTCATCTTCAAATTGTTAAATATCTTATCTCTGTTGGAGCTGATAAAGAAGCAAAGAATAAAAATGGATGTACTCCACTCATTAAAGCATCAGATAATGGTCATCTTGAAGTTGTTAAATATCTTATCTCTGTTGGAGCTAATAAAGAAGCAAAGAATAGTCTTGGATGTACTCCACTCATTTTAGCATCACAATATGGTCATCTTGAAGTTGTTAAATATCTTATCTCTGTTGGAGCTGATAAAGAAGCAAAGAATAAATATGGATACACTCCACTCATTTATGCATCAGAAAAAGGTCATCTTGAAGTTGTTAAATATCTTATCTCTGTTGGAGCTGATAAAGAAGCAAAGAATAATAATGGAAAGACTGCTCTTAATCTTGCAAAAAGTTCTGTGAAAAAAATTTTTTTGGAAGACAAAACAGAATAGAGAATAATTATAGGTAATGATAAAATATTAAAAAATAATATCTAAAGTCGATCGTTTTTTCCTATAAAAAAATCTGCCTCCTAGAATTTCGGTTTTTTCCCCTCAAAATTTGGCAAATCTGGTAGACTTGGGTATACCCCCGTCCATAAAAGCGCACATTTCTGACACCTAAATGTCAAATGAGCTTAAGGCGCTGGACTTCTTTAAGGTCCTTACTTGTCCTTCAAGCTAATGAATCAGCATCCAAAATGGTACTAATTCATATGGTTATTCAAGAAACTTCGGAGAAATAATTTAGATAATTTCACAAAAACTCAAGAATTTCCTTTCAAATCAGCAACACACCTCTTGTTCCCGAAACAAATATTACTCCTAACATCAGATCTTGATTTATGTTGGTAGTTGAAATTTTGAAATACAAAACCAGAGTTTTCGAGCAGCAACGACAGAAATGACCTTTTCCCATGGAAAAAGGTCATTTTTGTAGTAGCTGTTCGAAAATGAAACTCTTGATTCAAATTTTATATTAAAATTAACAAAATCAAAAAACTTCGAGTTAAGCATATTACCAACGATAATATTTAATACTCCAAGATCTCAAACTTAGCAGACACGAGATTTTTATAAATTATTGTAATTTTTACCTTTTTGAAGTGGATTAAACAATTGTTTATATAATTATTTATTTACCTATTCTTTTTACATCTTATTGATATGATTGTTTTATAACGTTTCCGATTTAATTACATTTTTTCGATCTGAATTTTAACCCCATATAATGATCCAGGATACCTTATATAATTTTTTGCAATTGCGTATTGGTTTTAAATATAATCTATATGGTTTCATGTAAATCAATGTTAAATTTTTTAAATTTAATTTCAAATTTGTTATTAGCTTTTTGTACTAAATAATAGTGTTTTAGATAAATTAAAACCTATTGGCAGATTTCTTTTATGCTTAAGTCAAACTTTTCCGGTTAAAAAATCAATTTATACTAATTTTTTACAAAATTTTTTAAGGGTGCCCGATAACGATAATGTAAACATCACAAAATTAACCTTATTAGAACTCGAATGAATGGATTATCCGGATTCTAGTTCTCAATATAATAGCCTTAAAAGTGCTTTTCTGAGGGTGGTCTATCGTCTATAGGGCACCCTTAATAACCGCTAAAAAAATTTAAAATTTTATTCTTTGGCCTTCACCACTTCACATTTTTGGTATCATTTTATTGATTTGGAATTTTTTTTGGAGTAGCATCAACGCAAGATAGTAAGAAACATCGATACCTCAATGAAGCACTAACCACACAGATGCAAAAAACACACGAAAAACAAAAACTTTATCTAATATTACCAAATCTTTCAACAAATCAAGCATAAATGCGCAATAAGAACATACCAAACGGCTACACATATACAAGATAATATCTAAACAACTCACAAACCATTACTTAAGTGAAGACAGAAAGGAAATTGAAACAGATTACGAAAAGGAAGACCTGAAGAAAGACCGAAACACAAGAAAGTGATAGGAAAGCAAGTAGAAGACAAGACCAGCTAAAGAAGTACAGAAGAGCGAAAAAGATCGATACGATTGGAAGATTAATTCACTGTTTCTCAGTCTCCAAGCCGAGTTCAAGACTCAGAACATACACCACAAGTATGTTGATTATGTATTATATCTACTTATATGGTTGTTATAGGAATAAAATCCTTTTTTATGCTTTAAATTTAACTTTTTTATCCTCATTGAATGTCAAATTTTTTGAATAGTTTACACTTTTTGGCGGGCTTACAATTTTTCTTTTATTTCTTGTTAAATAAAATTAGCATCTAATAACAAATTAATTTTTCATATAATATGGATTTTTTTTGTTCTCCTAGAATTTGACAGCTTACAAAATATGTTTATTTTTATGATATTTAGAATGCTCATTAAATGAACAATCTATATTCCCAATATCAGAGATTTTTTGTTTTTCTCACCTTTCTGACATAGGAAAAGGGTAAATTTTTAGCAAAAAACGATTGACTTTATTGAAGTTCAATTCTTTGTCTTAAAAATAAACAATATCCATTTGAGATTTGTGTTAAACCTCTTTGATTATGAAATATAGCATTACTTAGAAGTAGAATTTTTCACAATCTATACTAACTCTTTCTTTTTTTTTAGAAAAATAAACATCGTCTTCAGAGGATTCACGTTTAATTACGATCCATCGTATATTAATGTAATGCATATTCCCTTTTGGATCAATCGTCATAATTTAAGAAAATGATTTATTTCATAATATCGAGGGTTTATAGAAATTGTCAGAAGAAGTAGCAAAATTTGAAATAACTCATTTAGTTGTGTCTTACCACTTTCTGATACCTTCCAACAAACACAATATATCTTTATTTTAATATCAAAAATTTATAACACCCATATTATGTATTATATGGAGATTTGTAAAAGCTTTTTTCAGGCCTTATTACCAAATGAATACGTTGATTTTTGATTCAAATGCTGTTCGATATTAAAATCAAAATTAATAGTAAGCATGAGAATCACACTTTTGTTGCATTTTTAACAGACCTCAGACCTGCTGTTAAACGAACCAAAAGTATTAACTTATTATCTTAGGAATTTGAGTTTTAAGCTGTTGAAGTCAAAAAAAATTTGAAAAGAAGTTTTATATCAATGAGTGCTGGAAATCTCGCTAAATCTGACATTTGTAAAGTTTCAAATCTGATATTTGTAAAGTTTCAAATCTGACAGTTTGTAAAGGGTCCGAGTTGTCAGATTCGACATTGGCGCCAAAATAAAAAAAGTGCCATTATCTCATGGTGGACCACAGCTGGGGTCGCCACCGACTATCCACTTGCTGGGATGCTACGCAGCCTTTGATCTGGCCAATCATAGTGCTGCTCCATCCACATCAGCAAGTGATTTCGGCGGGAGATCTCCAATCGGTCTTCCATGAGGGTTACGCAAGCCAGAAGCACAATAACTATGCAGCCTAGCTGCTAGGATAGCGTAGCTAGGCTGCGTAGTTATTTTGCTTCTGGCGATATTAGTAATACGTTATTGCCCTCGTTGGCTATAGTACTACTCCCTTAACCTCCGAGGGTTAGGGGAGTAAATTTGCTCGAAATGGGCAATGTTCATTACGAAATCTCTCATTCGATGAGAGACTTCGTAATGAGCATTGCCTTAAAGTACTCTTACTACTCTTTCCTGGTCCCAAAAGGTCTAGGATTCTGTAATTAATCGAATAGGACAGAGTTTTTCCGAAGTCTCTCATTTGATGAGAGGCCTCGGAAAAACTCTGTCCTAGTGTAATGTAGTTGTGGTTCTTGGCCAACAAAGAGCGAGAGAAGATGTCTGTAATTCGTTTATGCTGAAGTTTTCTGGATTTCCTTCCTCATCTGAGAGAAATTCAGAAAACTTCAGCATAAGTTAATGCAGATGTGATTCTCTGGCTCTTTGTCGGCCAGAGAATGATTAAAAAGTTTGTTGGGTGAGTAGGCTCGATGCATGCCTACTCACTGCAAATATACGTTATTTTTTATTTCATATGAAAAAATAGTTTTTCATTTTTATACTACTATTGTTGCATGCTAAGTTCGGTCAACGATAGAAATTGAGTGGAAATTAATCGTCGAGGAAGTACGATTATGTAAAGTAAAAAAATGTTGTGGGATTTTTAATATTATATATTATTTTATAATAAAATTTTTTTGAGTCATTTTAAGAAGCACATATAATTTTTTGAATTTAAAAATTAAAGTAGTGTCAAACGAATTTATCACTTAATTTAATACTCAGATTTCTTAAAATTAATGAAAAAAAGGTTTTCTGAGAACTTTTGAGAATGGTTTTCAAATTCCATTATTGAAAATATATAGGTATTGTATGAAATTCATACTCTATATTTATTAAAATTCTAAATTTTTAATAAAATAACTTTTCAGAGGAATATGATTTTGAATGGTTGATTAATAAGTATAAAAATGTCTACGATTTTAAGGAGGGAATTGTTCCTTATGAGGTATACATCATAACTATATACCTCATAAGGAACAATTCCCTCTTGATATCCTGGATATTTTTGAATATATTTTTTTAATTAAAGTTCTCAAAAGTATTATCAAAAGTGATTTTTAAAAAATATCTCCAATTAATTAACTAATTAAAAGTATTATATTTTTAAAATTAAATAGTTTTTCAATTTTTTTGAAGGAATTGAGATACTTCCCACGACAATAAAATTGAGAGGTTTACATTATGACTGATCTTAGCATGCAACACTATATGTTTTACTACTTCATAAATCGTTTATTTTCTTATTAAAACCTAATTTTCCGTGTGATTCGGAATCTTCGCATTCAAAAAATGCATTTTCCGCTCTCAGAACGCGAAAATATGCACTATATGAGGAGTTAAAGAATATTCTTTCTCCCCAAAATTCCAAAAAAAATTCGTTTTTCTTTTTTTCTCCGCGAAAAATGTACTTTTTGATTTCGAAATTTTCGAACCGTGAATTTTTTGGAGATTTTTCGAATATTTTAATATTATAGATATGAGTTATTTTATGTAATCTATTGGGAGATCTGCTTATTTTTGAGTTTTGATCAAGATTGATAAATGAGAAAATATTGAAACATGAGAAATCTCATTGAAATAAGAAAAATAGACTATTTATTAAGTAATAAAGCATAATGCATTATAAAAATGAAAAACTATTTTTTCATATGAAATAAAAAAATAACGTATATTTGCAGTGAGTAGGCATGCATCGAGCCTACTCACCCAACAAACTTTTTAATCATTCTCTGGCCGACAAAGAGCCAGAGAATCACATCTGCATTAACTTATGCTGAAGTTTTCTGAATTTCTCTCAGATGAGGAAGGAAATCCAGAAAACTTCAGCATAAACGAATTACAGACATCTTCTCTCGCTCTTTGTTGGCCAAGAACCACAACTACATTACACTAGGACAGAGTTTTTCCGAGGCCTCTCATCAAATGAGAGACTTCGGAAAAACTCTGTCCTATTCGATTAATTACAGAATCCTAGACCTTTTGGGACCAGGAAAGAGTAGTAAGAGTACTTTAAGGCAATGCTCATTACGAAGTCTCTCATCGAATGAGAGATTTCGTAATGAACATTGCCCATTTCGAGCAAATTTACTCCCCTAACCCTCGGAGGTTAAGGGAGTAGTACTATAGCCAACGAGGGCAATAACGTATTACTAATATCGCCAGAAGCAAAATAACTACGCAGCCTAGCTACGCTATCCTAGCAGCTAGGCTGCATAGTTATTGTGCTTCTGGCTTGCGTAACCCTCATGGAAGACCGATTGGAGATCTCCCGCCGAAATCACTTGCTGATGTGGATGGAGCAGCACTATGATTGGCCAGATCAAAGGCTGCGTAGCATCCCAGCAAGTGGATAGTCGGCGGCGACCCCAGCTGTGGTCCACCATGAGATAATGGCACTTTTTTTATTTTGGCGCCAATGTCGAATCTGACAACTCGGACCCTTTACAAACTGTCAGATTTGAAACTTTACAAATATCAGATTTGAAACTTTACAAATGTCAGATTTAGCGAGATATCCAGCAAAAAAAAAAAAAAAAAAAAAGTAGTGGGGCTTCCAGGCACTTCGTGCCTTCTAGCCCTGAGGATGTTTTGTCAAGACTTCTTCGTAAATGTTTTGTCAAGACTTCTTCTTCGTAAATGTTTTGTCAAGACTTCTTCATCGTAAATGTTTTGTCAAGACTTCTTCGTAAATGTTTTGTCAAGACTTCTTCATCGTAAATGTTTTGTCAAGACTTCTTCGTAAAATCAGACAAAAATAATGTTTATGTTAGAATGTTAGATCTAACACCTTTTCTAACATGTTTTCTAACATCGTAGAAAACTCATGAATTTCATCGTATATGTTTTGTCAAGACTTCATCGTATATGTTTTGTCAAGACTTCTTCATCGTAAATGTTTTGTCAAGACTTCTTCATCGTAAATGTTTTGTCAAGACTTCTTCGTAAATGTTTTGTCAAGACTTCTTCGTAAATGTTTTGTCAAGACTTCTTCGTAATGAGCGTAAATGACCCAAAAATATAATTTAGGTGAAGAGGTGAGATGTCACCTCTTTTCTCACCTGTTTTCTCACCTCTTGAATTTTCATGAAATTTACACCAAAAATAATGTTTATGTTAGAATGTTAGATCTAACACCTTTTCTAACATGTTTTCTAACATCGTGAATTTTCATGAAATTTACACCAAAAATATACTACTAGGGTCATTTACGAAGAAATCTCAACAAAGTCTTTACGATGAAATCTTAACAAAACATAGACAAGAAAGTTCATGAGAAATTAGATGAAGAAGTCTCAACAAAGTCTTTACGATGAAATCTTAACAAAACATAGACAAGAAAGTTCATGAGAAATTAGATGAAGAAGTCTTAACAAAGTCTTTACGAAGAAATCTTAACAAAACATAGACAAGAAAGTTCATGAGAAATTAGATGAAGAAGTCTTAACAAAGTCTTTACGAAGAAATTCATGAGTTTTCTACGATGTTAGAAAACATGTTAGAAAACATGTTAGATCTAACATTCTAACATAAACATTATTTTTATTGAATTCCGTATGAAATTTCATGAGTTTTGTATGTTTTAGACCATGTTAGAAAACATGTTAGAAAAGAGGTTAGATCTAACATTCTAACATAAACATTATTTTTGGGTCATTTACACTCATTTACGAAGAAGAAGTCTTGACAAAGTCTTTATGAAGAAATCTCAACAAAGTCTTTATGAAGAAGTCTTGACAAAACATTTACGAAGAAATCTCAACAAAGTCTTTACGAAGAAGTCTTTACAAAACATCTGTCAAAAACCGCTTTTTAACTTCACTTAAAATGCCACGTAAGCTACGTAAGAATATACGTAAGAGGAAGAGAGCATTGAAACATCCAATAGTAAGACTAACACCACAACAACAGTTGCAACAACAAATGCTGAATGACCCCACTATGTTGCAACAAATGTCAAGCAATCCTATGCTTTTAAACCGAGTCATTGGTGCACAGAGTGGAGGTTTAAGAGCGGCACTTTTAGCGAAAATGGCAGGCTATGGTGGAGCTGCAGACGGAACAGCCTATAACCCTCAAAGTCAAATGAATTTGAGTTCACTCAAAAATCAAATAGCAGATGTCAAAAAGTCAAACATAGACATACAGAAGCAAATAAGTGAAAACGAAAAGAAACTAGAATATGACAGACACACAAAGAAACTCAATGAGTTAAACGTAGAGAAAAAGAAGAAAGAAGAACAACTGAAAGAACTAAGTACAGAGGAATATGCGAAAAAAGTGTCAGAAAAAGCAACAGAAGTAGCAAAAATGGAACAAGATGTTATAAATTTGAAAAACCATACTACTCAATATAAAATACTGAAAGATGAAGAGATAAAACAAAAAGCCCTGAAGACATATATGGATAGCGATGAGTATAAAAAAGAAGTTGAAGCAAATGTAAAGGCAGAAAAACTTTTACAGTTGCAAAACCAAACCGTACAGTATGAAAACTTAGCACAAGAAAGTAAAAATAACGACGCGGCTATGCAAAAGGCAATGAAAAGCGCAGAATATATAAAAGCCAACAATGACTGGTTAGATGCCCAAGCCAACGCTAAAGCAGCCCAACTTATAGGGTCAATAAGGACAAAAATACAAGCGGATGAAGACAGTTCAAATGAAGCTTTAACAAATGCTGACTTTAAGAACGCCTTCGAAGCTCTTCATAGTAAGGTGAAACAAGTGAACGACTTCTCATCTGGAAAGAAACTGAAGTCTGAAGGTTTCGACAACGAGTTAAGAGAAGTAGCACAAAATATGACGAAAATAACAGATGCAGCAACGAGACAGGCAGTTCAAAGTGCCTATGACGCCGTTAGAGCAACTGTTGTGAAAAGTCAAGAAAAAGAGTTACAACAGACCAAAACAGACCTAGTAAATGCTTTCTTAAGAACGAAAAGTCAGGTAGGACATTACGCTGCAGATGGAACATATGTGCCAGCTGGTGGAACTTATATACCACCAAACCCTCCAAGAGAAGCACCTGCACCAGGACTACCTAGAACATTTACATCGTCACATGGACACAGACACAGGCATGCACCAAAACCAACACAACAACCAACAGTTCAAAACCCTGCACAACAACAACAACAACAACAACCAACACAACAACCAACAGTTCAAAATCCAGCACAACCAACAGTTCAAAACCCTGCACAACAACAACCACAAACAGAGCAAGGACATAAAAGAAGTAGAGAACAAGGAAACCAAGAATTCTTAAAAATGCTTAAAGAAGAGTGGGTTTCCCAGATACTGTTGACTTTAGTGACAGATATAAAGAAGCTATTGGAAAGTTCAAGGATGGAAATACTGACCCGAACCTATTTAGCTTTATGGCTCAGCACCAAAACGGATATAATCTCAAACCTGGAAAATACAAGCTCGCTAAGGGATATGATTTAATAGCATATCATCCAAATGACATGGATGAATTTACTCCGAGATATTTGATGTCAGAGCTAAATGACAATTCAACTTTCGTCATGAAACGCGTAAAAAATAGAGACGGAACGAAAGAACAAAAGCTTATGAATGCGGATGACGTAGATAGGGAAATTGTTGAAAACGGTCTCGGAATATATGAAATGCCAGCAGATGAGGTACAAGAAACTCCACAGGAAGAAGTTCAGATACAACCAGACATGGAAGAAATAGTTCAGCAACAACAGCTAGAAGAGCCTGAAGGAAACGAACAAGTCCTTCCTTTGGAAACTAACTTCACAGAACTAGATGAAGATTTGGAACAGCCGAAAAATCTTGACCCTCAACAAGAGTATGCGGAGAATATGGAATATTTCCAAGAGTCTAAAAAAAATTCGGCTGACATAGTAGAAGAATATCGAAAAATGTTTGCCGACATACAAAAGACTCCAACACCAGATGAAAATATTCAGCATAGAATGGAAGTACTGAAAGAAAATGTACACAAATACAACAACCCTTTTTACTTACGAGCATTTAACGTTCAATCTTCGGATGAACTCGGTGAAAATAAAAGGTTAAATTTCAAGAAAACATATAGAAATGAAACATTGTTTAAAGTTCATTCAGAACCTAACCAAGATGGAAACAAACCTACTTTTGTTTCTGCAGACGATGGAACTACAATGAGATGGGGTCATAAAGCTAACCCGGATAGGTGGTTCATAAACTTACAACCACAATTCCAAGAAGTTGTAGACGCAATGGAAGTCAATGGTGAACCAGATATAGCTGGTATTTTCAGCGCGGCTTTAATGCCATTGAAAGATATGAAAGATGCAGATATTTTGGACAGTATGAAATGAACATGGCTGATGGAAATATAACACTGACGTTCTAAAACATTTATCTCAAAGAACTACACAGAACCATAAAGATGGTATATTTGGTGAAGAGTTTAGAAAGAAAGTTAGGGAGGGAGAAGGAAGAGAACCTATTGTACATGACCTTGCAAACGAAAGTTTACAAAATGTCATAAAAACTTACTTTGCAGGCGATGAATCGAGAAGGGATGAATATTTAAGAAAACTCAAATGGACAGTACCAAATGAAATGTTAGTATTGAAAAACATGTTCCTTGACAAAATAAAACCAACTACAGAAATAAACGACGCAAGACTGAAAGATTGGGTAAAAGCTTTCCCATTCACAAAAGATATAGTTGGTAACATGGAAAGAAAACCAGAATGGCTACAAAAACATATATTTGGAAACGAGCTTATTCCATATGGACAGGCACTGTTTGAAGAGCTTGAACCGGAAACTCAGGAAAGAGTCATGCAAACAATACGCAAAGACTCAAATACAAACTATGACAAACTCTTTCTAGGATATAGGTTACCTGAGATGGGCGACCAGAGCCAAAAGGCAAAAAGGACATGGGAAATTTGCAACATACTAGATGAACATAATGCAAAGATGCAACAACTTCAAGCAGAGGGCAATGAAGGAAAAAGAAGAGTTAAAAACTCAGTCAGGAAGAAAGTAAAGCTTGGTCCACATGGGTTCTATTATGACATATAAATCCAACTATTCTATATTTTTACTCATATGAAATGTACGCCGCTCAGAATATAACGCCAACAGTTTTGGATGCCATGAACGGAAATGTTTCCGAATGGTATAACGAATGCGACAATGCCATTAGAAGGTCAGAAATAGTTCCTGGAACTTACGAATATACAACTGCTGTTTCTTATGGAAACGTAGGTGAGTTTGGAGAAGGTTCTTCAACAACAGTAGATATTGCATGCGACAGGTTTCATATAATTTCTATTGACAACTCTTTCTTATACGTGGAACAAGACATTGAAATAAAACCTTCTGCCAAGTTGTCTGACAAGAAAGGTTGCAATGGAATTTTCTATGTCGGATACCAATATGCTCCAGAAGTTTTCATGGGATATAAGATATATTCTAACTCTGACTTAGTTCAAACAGTAACATGGGCAAACTATGAATGGTTCGCTTTGAGAAACTCAGTACAACCACAAGCTAGAGAACAAACAGACCAGTATGCAACTATTGAGAAAATAAGAAGACTTGACCCTAACGTTCCAGGAGTTTATGTTAACCTTTCTGGACAAACTGCAGCAGCAGTAACCAAAGTAAAATTGAAACTTAGAGTTCCTTTGTCATCTTTCCTCATCTTCAGGTTTTTAAGATACTTGCCAAACTGGGCAGGAAAAATTTCTATCGAACTTACTCCAAGCAAAAATAACTTAGTCATTGCACCAACACAAGACCCATTCACTCTTACAGAAGTAGTGGGAACAAATAAAACGTCATTCGCCGAATTTTGCAAAGACAAAGTTGACTTAGACTTTGGTTTCTCAAACCTCAACACTGAAGTAAACTATTATTTCAATGCTGCTGGAGATGCTTGGGACCCAGTTAAGTTTACATGCGAAAAGTTTGAATGCAAGAGAATAGAAAGCAGACTTGCAGTCTATATGTTGGACCCAGATATTTCAAATGCTTTAGCTGCCAAATATATTGCAGTTCCACTTATGTTCCCTATACACCAAATATCTGTCAAAGACTTTGCAGGTGAAGTTGGAAACCAAAGTGCTGACCCAGGTGCAAGAACGGATATTGCTTTAACAACTGCAATGAAACATGCAGATACTATGTTTGTACTGTTCAGACGAACTATAAATGACTATTCTTGCTTCTACAACCCTGGTATTAAATACCATATAAACATAGATGGCAAATACTATCCAAGAGAAGAATATTCTACAGTTGAGGATATGAGGTCATACAACTTGACATTAGATGCTATGAACTTTAACAACAACTTCACAACAACCATTAACCCTGAAATGCAAAGTTCTATTATGCCATATGTGAAAGTATGGACTCATACAGGAGGTCAAAAAACTCAATATACAAATGGAGACCGTTCAAACTTTTGGCTTGGCATTCCATTTGCTGACTCAGAAGACTTTATGGGTGGTATTTCAACTGTTGGTACTGTACAAATACAATATACTGGTGACAGAGACGGTCCAGATGAATTGAAAGCAAAGAAGTTTACAAAACCAATAGCACTTTTCACGGAAGATGCTCTTTTGAAGATTCGTTCGATGAAACCTGCTGGGGCTCCTCAGATTGGCATAACGACAGCTTCCATCGAGCAGATTTTGGCAGCAGGTCAGTAAGTTGTTCTTGAACTGACTTCTCTCCGTCAAATATTGACAGTACGCCAGTTTTGACATAATATTGTATTATAAACTTACCTTTAGAAATATCGGTCAGTTTTGTTGTTATATTTTTGTCTGCTTCAAGAACTTTCACCATCTCGGTTATACCAACTTTCTTTGCTTTATGAAAATATTTTGGTTCAGCAAAGACTGCTATTCTATAACATTTTCCATTGTTTGTGTAAAGAACTACTCTGTCAATGAACTTGTATTGTTTGTGTGTGTAAACTTTGTTTTGCTTCAATTCGAAGAGATACTCAAATACGTCCATCTTTTTATTCTAAGTAAAATGTCATTTCCGAAAAATAGAAGCGTAAGTGTTTCAAAAGGTTTAATGGCGGTGGCAGATGTGAAGTTAAATTCACCAACTCAAACAAACAGTCAAAGTGTTGTTGTCAATGTCAAAGAAAGAGATGTTGAAGTGGGGAAACCATACGAAGACGAAGATGGTATAACAATAGTTCCTGTAAAAGAACAACCAACATACCCTGAAGTTAGCAGAGACTTAAGTTCTGTTGCAGATATTCGAAACGACTACCAACAACTTAAAGACAAACTTAAAACTCAGGAGAAGATTTGTCAAGCTTTGGGTATAATGTTAAACTTGGTTGAACACAACCCTGTAAAAGTGAACTCATATGTCATCGCACCTCATGAAATTTTGAAAGAACTATTGAAACTTTTGACAGAGGCAGACGATATAAACATCAAAGAAATAGAACCCGACATTGCTTGCTGTGGTGTTTCATACAATGTCATTGACAAGATATACGTTATGAAAGGAGGTGAAACGTTGAACTTAAAATATAGTTTCCCAGACGTCATAAAAATATTTGACGACCACAACATTTCATTAAAATTTATTTGCTAAGTAAATGGCAGAAGACATAGTGGTTTATACTATTACGACTAAAAACCCTGAGTCATATAATTCTATAACAACAAACTTACAAAGTCCTCAAGGACGGTATTGTAAACTAACCTTAAACACAATGACGACTAAAGCCTGTTTTGCTCTTTTGACACCAGAAGACTTTGTTGTTGTGAATGGTAAAAAATACTTCTTTTGAAGATACTTACTCAGATATACCACCAACAGGTTTTGTTGACTTATTTAATACTTTAAGGACGGATGTAACATGTGCTGCAACTAGAGCAGGTTTCATTATGTTTGGATGTCCGACTGAGTTTACTATAAACAATATGAGCTATAATACAAAACTTATTTCTGGTTTTTACTACCAACAGTTTCCTATAACAGGAAAAGGTGTCATACAAGGAATGTCTGTTCCATTGACTTTAAGTACACCTATTTTATATATTGTTTCAAATTAGGTTCAAAGTGCTATTCGAATGTTGACAGAAACTACTATGACCAAAAGATACTCATGCGTATAAACAACACTTTTCTGCTGGTTTGCCTATTGTTCATTCGAATGCAGAGTTTTCAGCTTTAGTAAACTCAAACACTTTAGCAAACATAAACTTAACCTTAGTTGACGCAAACTTTGTTCCTGTAAAACTTTTATGTCCTATGTATTTGTCAATGACGGCAGAAAGTTTCGAATTGGAAGATGCAACTGGTGAAAGTATTGTACTACAAGAACAACTTCAACAACAAATAGCTCAAGAACAACAAATGCAACAAATAGCTCAAGAATAAAAAAAATATTTTTTTTATTTTTATAAAAATGTACAGAATAGATGTTTCAGATTTTTTATGACTTCCAAGCCTTCAGAAAGATGTGTCCATTTAGAGACTATAACAAAGCAGTCGAGAATTTGAAACGTTTAGTCATTTATGTCGACTCTGCCCAGAATGTTATGTTATGAAAGAATGGGATGTTGTCTTTAACAAACCAAGAGCGACAATATTTCAGAACAAGAATGTAAACAGAAACTTAAGAAAATAAAAGTCGTACAAGTTGGCATGAAGATGTTAGATGCTTGGGATATCTTATTGTCAAAACTTGAAGATTTTTCAGTTCGTGGTATAAAGTTCTATACACCATCTCCAAACTTCTATTCTATCTTCACTGGATATAAATACGAACAAGTAGAATGGAAAGAAAATGTTATAGAAGCTTGGTTAGACCATGTCAAAGAAATTATATGCAATGGAAACGAAAGAGTCTATGAGTATATCTTATGTTGGTTTGCAAACATCTTACAACATCCAAGTGCTAAAAATGAAACTGCTCTCATTATAATTGGAAAACAAGGAACAGGTAAGAATACTTTCTTTACAGATATCTTATGCAAACTGTTAGAGGGCTATTCGAACCCGAATATGACAAACTTAGAAAACATCTGTGGTAAATTTAACTCTTCAATTGAGAATATGAAACTTATAGTTTGCAATGAACTTCAAAGTATAGATACAACAAAAGTTTTGAACTCAGATGCTTTGAAGAGTCTTATAACAGACAAAGTTGGAGTTGTTGAAAGAAAATATAAAGACCAAAGAGTTTGTGAAAATGTTGCAAACTTCATTATGGTTTCAAACAATGCTGTTCCGATGAAGTTAGAAAGTTCTGACAGAAGATATGTAGTTGTCAGAACGTCAGATTCTCATATGCAAGATACAGAATATTTTGACGACTTAGCAGAAACTTTGACATCTGACTTTTACAACCACTTGTTCTCATATTTCATGACATTAGATATTTCTAAGTTCAATCCAAGACAAATTCCACATACCGAAGAGAGACAAACATTGTTAGAAGCAAACAAGAGTGTATATGAACTGTTCATAGATGAAACTGACTTTGTGTCATTAGATGAAAGGTCATTGTACGATTCGTATAAACAATATTGTCAAGAATATGGTTATATGACAGCTTCTAAACGAACATTCTTGGCAAATGTCAAAAGTCTTTTAGATGTTCAGAATGGTGTATATACAAAGAAAAATTTTTATGAGTAAATTTTAAAAAAAATATTTTTTTATCCGATAGAAAAGATGGCAAAATTCATCTCAGTAAACAAGTACATGTCAGGACTTAAAGAAGAACTAGACCCATTCACATATTTGAATGTTTACTTCTACCATTTTGAAAAGTCTTCATTTGACAAAGTTTGGAACATCGAACCAGTTAAGTTTGCTATTGTGACTAAAAATGGTGCGAAATTTGAAGACTTAGACATTGACGGTATGTTAGCAGTCAAAGAAAATTTTGACAGAAGGTTTTCAAACCTTAAAGAAGGCAAAGCATACAAACTTGTTATACCTTATGAACCAAAGAAAGCAGACGACTATGAATATTATGAGTCTAAGATAGTTGAAGTTCAAGGTAAATTGGGTAAAAAGATTTTAGAGTCTAAGCCAGTGTTTGCCCCTAAAGAGGAAGAGAACATTGACATTGACCCAGAAATGTTCTAAAAATAAAATTTTATTTTTACATGTCAAATTTCTTTTTCTCTGGAACTGGTTCAGGTTCTTTCTTCTCTTCTACTTTCTTTTCTTTCTTTTCTCTCTTCTTCTTCTTCTCTGGTGGAGTTATGTCAAATTTGGCGCAACCATATTTATGTAAAAGTTCTTTGTCCTTTAATAGCTCATCTATTCTGTTTTCTATTTCATCTTCAAGAACAGCGCATGTGTCTTCTTTGCATTCTAAGAACTTTTGTTGGACTTCATCTTTCCAATCGGCGTCATCTCTGTCAACAAGTCTGTCATTGACAAATTTTAAGACTGCTCTTTGTAATGTTTTATGGTTCTTGTCATATTCCCAGAAACAGAACTTTAGAACAAATTCCCCTTTCTTGTTTACACTATGTAAGATTTTATGGTCGACAGATGTTTTTGCTGTCAAAAAGTTTGTCTCGAATATAGATAGCGAAATCGCTCGACATTTTCAAAAAGATAAAAATTTTAATTTTTCTAAAAATATGTTAGAAAAAAAGTTTGCTGACATTGACAAAAATTTGAGAATGTTTTAAATAAGAACAAGAGGAAGTTAGAAAATGCTCAGATATAAAGCCTATACATGACAAGTTCTTATTTGCTCAGAATGGTATAACAGGTCTAATCGCACCACCTGGGTCGGGCAAGACTTTCACTTATCTTAAAATGGCTGCACAACAACAAGAACTAGATGAGAAGAACCCATTCTATGAGTTAGTTGTTATTTGTAGTACTTCTGGTCAATTTGACCAAACCGTCAATTCGTTCAAAGATATTATAAAAAGTCTAAGTTAGTATGTATAAAAGACTCTGAGTTGTTAGATTGGATAAAGAATACAAAGAAGAGTTTTGAAGTATAATGCTATAAATGAGTATATAAATTCTAAGTTTAAAGACCCAAATGAGGAAATGCAGAGAATATTAGAGAAGAAACACTTCAGAAACAAACAGAAGAGATAGAATACATTTCGAAGAAATTGCAATCTTACGATTGGAAGACATACCCTCATAGGTCTTCTTATCTTAGATGATTTGCCTCTCATCCTTTGCTTAAGAAACAGAGAACAAGATATGTGTCGAATTCTTAAGAAGCTCAGACACTTTAACATCTCAGTTGTCATTTGTGTACAGACAGCAAAGAGTTTAAGTAAGGATGTAAAGAGAATACTTACTGATATCATACTTTTTCCCCGGATTGTCCGAAGACGATTTCATGGAACTTATGAAAGAGTCCATGGCAGGTAAGTTTGACAGACATGAACTATGGGAGAAGTATAAAGTCATACAAGACCCTCATACTTCTTTCAGAATTCATATCTACGCAAACAAAGTTCAAATTGTAAAAAGTCAAGCTTGAAAAATCTAAGTGTTTAGTCTTAGTAAGTCTGTTGTGGTGCTGGGGCTGTCGGTTCTTCTGGCTTTGGAAGGCATTCAGGAAGAGGAACGTGAGACATTCGTTTGTGTCCTGTCGGAAGGAAGAACTTTTCCAGTTGTCGGGAAAAATTTTTCCAGTTGTCGGGAAATTTTTTTCCAGTTGTCGGGAAAAATTTTTCCAGTTGTCGGGAAAAAAGTTCTCAATTTTCGAAAATTTGAATGGTTTACGGACGGACAACAGGAAAATTTTTTCCAGTTGTCGGGAAAATTTTTTCTTGTCGGATGGAAAAACTTTTTCTGTCGGAAGGAAGAACTTTTCTTGTCGGATGGAAGGACTCGGAATGCCAGAAGGATTTGACAAGGCAATTTACTTTATAGAGCTACCTGAGCCATCTGAAGTCAAGCGTAAAAATAAATGGTTCATCTACCCTACTTGTTTGAAGTTGTCAAAATACTCTGTTATTTTTTCCTTCAGTAGCGGTAAGTCTTCTTTGAAGGTAAGTATTGTACAACCTTTCATATCATAGTGTGTTTGAGGTAACGTATCTTGAACTATTTGTTTCACATCTTCATTCGGTGTCATTGAAATCGGTAAGTTTTCGCGATAGAACCAATTTCTGTCAGATTTGTAAATCTTAGCAAGGTCGTAAAAGCTTTTGTTGTTTCTTCTGACTAAATGCAACATAACCATATCTCTGTCTTCTTCATTTTCCATCTCTTCAGTGTAAATCATATACTTATAGTTCTTTTCCTTTCCTTTTGGTACCGAACGTGGTATTCTTTTCTGAATGTTTTTGTCTTTTGCTTCAAGCTTGTTCTCTAGCTCTTCACGTTCTTGTCTATGAATTTCATCTAACATCATGAAAATATAACAAGCATAGCGAGGTGAAGCCCACATTGCAACAGCATTTACAAGAAGTCTATGTACATACCAACCTCTCAAACCATTTGGCAAATTTTGACGATTTTCGTACGGAATCTCGACCCTCGGTTTTCCGAGGGTCGCAAACATATGAGGAAATTCTTCTAAAAGTTCTTTTGTCTGTTGGTTTTCAAACCAATGGTATGCTTGCTTTGTAGAACGAAGAGTATTCAAAATACTTTGCATTTGGTACATGTCATCTTTGACCGAACGAATGAGACGGAGTTGTTTGTTAAACTGAACCCACTCATATTCTTCATTTATAGCTTCATGGACTATAACTGTTGTTGTGTTCTCTGTTGTTGACATATCTGTCTTTATATTCCGGATAAAAAAATAAAAAAAAATAAAACTAACTTTATTTTTTCTATCTTAAGGAAATTCATGATTTTCATGAGTTTTATGCAAGACCGAAAAAAGTCTGTCTAGAGAAATTTCACTGTTTTCATAGAGTTTTATGCAAGACCGAAAGAAGTCTGTCTAGAGAAATTTCATGATTTTCATGAGTTTTCTTCATGATTTTCGTACGGAATCTCTATCCTCGGTTTTCCGAGGGTAGCAAACATATGAGGAAATTCATGAAATTTCATACGGAATTCAGCAAAAATAATGTTTATGTTAGAATGTTAGATCTAACATGTTTTCTAACATGTTTTCTAACATGGTCTAAAACACACAAAACTCATGAAATTTCATACGGAATTCAGCAAAAATAATGTTTATGTTAGAATGTTAGATCTAACATGTTTTCTAACATGTTTTCTAACATAACTATTTACAAGCGTTTTACATGGTATATGTTGCGATGGTTCATGACTCTAAACAGTTTCGTAGCTTCAATTTCTTCTTTTAGTACATCGAATGTTTTAACTATGCCGAAGGTTTCTTTATACTTCTTCTTGACGTCAGATAATAGGAAATCGTTAGCGGTTGGATAGTTTTTGTTCAGAAATTCTAACATGTCCATTTTATTTTCTGCTGGCTTTTCTGCTTCTTTCTTTAAGTCTGCATAGTCGTTTCTCATTCTTTCTATCTCTTTGACGGAGTAGTTATATTTCCTCATTGCTGCTTTACATTTTGAACATTGCGGGTTCATTTTTGCGTTATATTCTGAAACCTTACCTGCAAGTATGACTAAGGCGTCAATTGCTCTCTTCATCTCGAACATAGCGGGTTTTATTTGTTCGTTCCATACCTTACCCCTACTATCTTTATCTCTTATTTCCCAAACACATTTTGCAACTAATGAAACAAAGTTGTCGTAGGTCTTAAACTCCCCAGATTTGTATATGTCAGAGATGTTCTTATATACCATGTCGCAATCTTTGTCCATAACCTTATGGTTGCAATGAAATCCTAGAAACTCATAGTTTACCTTTCGTATGAACTTCTTTATTTCTACTGAGTCAGTCAGTCCGACTTCTATTTCATCGAATTCTGGAATAGTAAGCTTTTGTTGTTGGATTTCAGGCAATTTGGGTAAATGGTCAATAATATCCTGCATTTCATAAAGATACTGTTCATTTGTTTCATCTTTCGCACTACAGTCTAAATCTCCTTGGAGAAGTTCCTGCTTTATCTTCTGGATTTCTGTTTCGAAAGTATATGAAGAAGGAATGAAGCTTTTCATCTCTACTAACATTGAAGTTGGGTTCATGACTAACGAGTTTGGTGCTGTTGTTGCTAACATGTTCTTACAATAAAAATAAAAAATATTTTTTTAAAAAAACTAACTTTATTTTTTATTTCGGGAAATTTCATGAAAATTCATGAGGGTAGAAAAGAGGTTAGAAAAGAGGTTAGATATACCCATCTACCCTAAACATTATTTTTGGTGTAAATTTCATGAGTTTTGGTTGAAAGAATACGGTGGAGCCAAAAGTGGCTCGACCTCAAAACAAGCATTTTCTGTGTAAATTTCATGATTTTCGAGAGTTTTAGACCATGTTAGAAAACGTGTTAGAAAACATGTTAGATCTAACATTCTAACATAAACATTATTTTTGGTGTAAAATTCATGATTTTCGAGAGTTTTAGACCATGTTAGAAAAGAGGTTAGAAAACGTGTTAGATCTAACATTCTAACATAAACTTTATTTTTGTCGAAAAAAAATGGTTCATTTACTCACAATATTTTTGTACAAAACGACCCCAAACTTTTAACTTCTTTTCTGCAGCTTCTAATGTTATCTTAGCGAGTTCATATTCTCTAAATTCTCTCTTTAAA